AAGAAATTGGTAAAAAAACATGTAGTAACAAACAATCAACAAAAGCATAAACTAACTATGCATTAAAAATTAAATTCAAATTTCGAGCAGATGAGTCATAAATTCTACTAACCTAACGGTACTACCATATGTCTATGTGCAATGAAGTCATTAATTACTCTCTCTGCCATTACCAACCACTTGTTAGTAATTGTGCTCACACAGCATATATGAAACCACCTCTTTCCTTCACCTTTATTACATCGTCTCTTTATCTCTTCTTCTTCTCCCACAAAGAAAGAGAGAGAGAGAATCTCTTTCTTCACTCTCAACAATGGCTGACAAAAACCCACTTCAAAAATGCTTTCTTTTCATCATCTTATCCATCAATCTCATCTCTCTTCAAGCACAAACTTCTAAAATCGCTAACAAGAAGACTTATGTTGTCCACATGGACAAATCCGCCATGCCTTTACCTTACACTGATCACCTCCAATGGTACTCTTCCAAGATCAACTCTGTAACGCAACGCCACTCGCATGAAGAAGAAGAAGACAACAGAATACTCTACACTTACCAGACTGCCTTTCACGGATTAGCTGCTCGGCTTAGCGAAGAGGAAGCAGAGAGGCTCGAGGAAGAAGCTGGTGTTGTTGCTGTGATTCCTGAGACAAAGTACGAGCTTCACACTACGAGAAGCCCAACGTTCCTCGGGTTAGAGAGACAAGAGAGTGAGAGAGTTTGGGCTGAGAGAGTCACTGACCATGATGTGGTAGTTGGTGTTTTAGACACTGGGATTTGGCCTGAGAGTGAGAGCTTCAACGACACTGGCATGTCCCCTGTTCCTTCTACATGGAGAGGAGCCTGTGAAACCGGTAAAAGGTTCTTGAGACATAACTGCAACAGAAAAATCGTTGGTGCTAGAGTTTTCTACAGAGGCTACGAGGCTGCAACGGGAAAGATCGACGAAGAGCTCGAATACAGATCACCAAGAGACAGAGACGGTCATGGAACACACACTGCAGCCACTGTAGCTGGATCACCTGTTCGAAGAGCAAATCTTCTTGGTTTCGCTTATGGGACAGCTCGAGGGATGGCTCCAAAGGCTAGAATCGCTGCTTATAAAGTCTGTTGGGTCGGAGGGTGTTTCAGCTCTGACATTTTGTCGGCCGTTGATCAAGCCGTTGCAGATGGAGTCCAAGTTCTCTCTATATCTTTAGGTGGTGGGATCTCAACTTATTCGCGTGACAGTTTGGCCATAGCAACGTTTGGAGCAATGGAGATGGGAGTTTTCGTTTCGTGTTCTGCAGGTAATGGAGGTCCTGATCCGATTAGCCTAACGAATGTTTCGCCATGGATCACAACAGTTGGTGCAAGTACCATGGACAGAGATTTCCCAGCCACAGTGAAGCTTGGAACTATGAGAGTCTTTAAAGGAGTTTCACTTTACAAAGGCAGAACAGTTTTGTCTAAGAACAAACAGTATCCTCTGGTTTACTTAGGAAGGAACGCAAGTAGTCCTGATCCGACTTCGTTCTGTCTAGACGGTGCTCTGGACCGGAGTCATGTAGCGGGTAAGATCGTGATATGCGACCGTGGTGTAACTCCACGTGTGCAAAAGGGTCAGGTTGTTAAAAGAGCGGGAGGAATCGGAATGGTTTTAACGAACACCGCGACAAACGGAGAAGAGCTTGTTGCAGACTCTCATTTGCTTCCAGCAGTTGCAGTGGGAGAGAAGGAAGGTAAATTGATCAAGCAGTATGCAATGACGAGCAAAAGAGCCACAGCGACTCTAGAGATTCTTGGAACAAGAGTTGGAATCAAACCGTCTCCTGTTGTAGCTGCATTCTCTTCAAGAGGACCCAATTTCCTGTCCTTGGAGATCTTGAAACCTGATGTACTGGCTCCGGGAGTGAACATTCTTGCAGCTTGGTCTGGAGACATGGCTCCATCGAGTTTGTCATCTGATAGAAGGAGGGTTAAGTTCAATATACTGTCGGGAACTTCAATGTCATGTCCTCATGTGAGTGGTGTGGCTGCTTTGATCAGATCAAGGCATCCGGATTGGAGTCCAGCTGCAATCAAATCAGCTCTCATGACAACGGCTTATGTTCATGACAACATGCTTAACCCTATTACAGATGCATCAGGAGCGGCTCCTTCAACGCCTTATGATCACGGTTCTGGACATATAGATCCTTTGAAAGCTATAGATCCTGGTCTGGTCTACGACATTGGACCTCAAGATTATTTTGAATTCCTCTGCACTCAGGATTTAAGTCCTGCACAGCTCAAGGTATTCACAAAGCATTCAAACAGAACCTGCAAAAACACTCTTGCTAACAATCCAGGGAACTTGAACTACCCGGCGATCTCAGCTTTGTTCCCGGAGAACACTCATGTTAAAGTAATGACTATTAGAAGAACAGTGACCAATGTTGGTCCTCACATTTCAAGCTACAAGGTTTCTGTCTCTCCTTTCAAAGGAGCATCGGTCACGGTCCAGCCGAAAACACTCAACTTCACTTCGAAACACCAGAAGCTATCGTACACGGTTACTTTCAGGACAAAGTTGAGGATGAAGAGGCCAGAGTTTGGTGGTCTTTTGTGGAAGAGCGCAACACATAAAGTTCGTAGCCCGGTTATAATCACATGGCTGCCTCCTCTGTAGACAAACAAGAACCACTGTTGAAGCTATTTTAATGTTTTAGTTCCTCAAATAAATTTTTTCTCATGTAATCAGAAGAGAGATCTTCTCTAGAATCAATGCTTTAAGAAACCTGAAACAAAAAAATTCTATACAAGAAGCATCTGTTCTTATTATGTCTCACAATGGGAAAGCTTAACCAAAAGCCAAGACAAGACATTTGAATTAAAACTCAATCAGATATGCAAAACCATGATAATTCTGCTTAGATTTAGTATCATGTTCTTGCAGAAGTAAACGGATTATACTCAAGGACATTGAAGTGAAATCATACGCCAAAGAATGCAGACACAATACAGGTCGTTTACTTTCTTGAATTCCTATACTAAACTGTGGAACTTGGTTTGCATTATACGACCTACGATTTACGAACCCAATTGGACGAAGACAGAGGTACAGAACCGTAGTCCATGTAATTAGGTTTCTACCTCAAACTACAATTCGAGTTCCAGAAAACTAACGAGATGATCATCGGAAACAGCGAAAGACTATAAGTTTTATAGGCTTTTTCTATTATTCAGAATGGCTCACTCTGGCCTCCAACAAAGACAACTCTAACTTTCAGATTTTGGGCCTAAATGGTGTAATTAAAGTTGTGGAAAGTTAGAACTTTTCTACCTATTTACACCGGTTAGCATTTGTAGATTGTTGCAGAGTTTCTATAGAGTTATTTTGAGTTTAATTGTGTAATTTTTGTTCTTTTGTTTAAAAAATTACTAATAATATAAATGAATGAATTTACAAAGCTCTTAGTTATTTTAGTAGTTGATAATAAAAAGATATTTATAATTATAGCTATTTGAAAAAAAAAACTTATCATTAAAAGAAGTTGGATTTAGAAAATTAAATCAATAAAAAAAAATTATTTTGTATAATTTAATATATTTATAAGCATAGATATTTAATTTTGACAAAAAACTAATTAATAAATTATTTTTTTATTTTCAAAAATTCCTCAACATTTCGCAAGATTCATCTGTTACCATTTAAATTCAAAATTATTCTGCAAGATTCTGCAAAAGATCACTAAAATTTTTGTAAAATTCCACAATTCTACAAAATTTCTCTGATACCATTTGGACCCTTTGTACCATTTACTTAAAAAAAAAAGTATTAGAGAAATTTGTTGCATAACAAAAAAAAATTCTAATTTCAGAATATTTTTTTCTAGAAAACTCTCCTTTCGAAGAAATAAATTCATTAGTTAGATCTGATTTTTTTCGGTCGGCGTTGTGGGCTTCTTTAGCCACGGCGCCTAATACAATCTCGGTAAGGAGATTGATTCCAAGAATGTCACTCTGAAACATATTGGTGTTGTGAAGATTAAAAGATGCAGCGGATTTGACTGAATGATTTGAGAAGATCATAACGAAACAAAGGTTTAGGATTAAGTTATCAGAATGGTT